TATTGTTCTAGTATAGATTTTTATACTGTTGAGAGTAAGACCCGAATTATAAACATTGTATTTATTTTATTCACGTAATTTTTCTTTCTGTGGATATGTATATGATTTCATTGACATAAAATACAGCTTAAATGTGCATCGAAGCTATAAATGTTTCGAAGCTATAAATGTTTTGAACTATAAATGTTTTGAATTATAATAAAAGACAAACAAAGGCACGATTCAGAGTGCTTCCCCGAGTGCTTATGATAAATCATTTCCCAATTTCCGGGATTATATCAAACTCTCCATTCAATTGTTATTGTTTTTATAACACAATAATAATAATGTCATGGAAAAAACACAACTTCCCTACCAGTTGAATTAATTTCATTTAAGAAAATATAATTTGATTGATTGGAAGGGAAATATTGATATTAGAAGAGAGATGAATGTTTTAACTTTGTCAGTCGTTTGGTGAAAAAAAATGTAGTTTAGATGACAGCCGCGTCAACACACGCCTAAGAATGTATTGTCTTAACCCGGGAGCCACCTGGAGGAGGACAGGGATGAGATGGCTGCACAACACTGCAGCAGGTGTTGTGGACAGAGGACCTAACCTCCAGACGACACGTGGCCTGTAGAAGACAATGAAGAGCCTCTCACAGACTCGAGGACTGGCAAGCTGAACTTCTTACAGGAGAATGACGAGAAAGGTGAGAGAGAGAGAGAGAGAGAGAGAGAGAGAAATATATGTGCAGTAAATATCCTGTATGTTTAAGAAAGAGATACAGATAAAGATATACATTCATCTGTAAAGTAAAATAACAATGATTTATTACACAATACTGTCAGTTCTCTCTTGACTCCCTCAGCAGACAACACTCACACTATCATCCATAAATAAACAATAAATTTCACTTTCCCGGCATTGCTAATGGTCTAGGATAAGCTTCTGTCAATAGAGGCGCTACATTACGCCAGATTTTCCCATAAGGACAAAGTTTGTGTTGTGTAGAGCACTAGACGGAGGACGAATGATTTTGGTGTCTGTTTCATTTGTTACCCGGCAATATATGATTCAGATTTGGGTGAGGAAATGTAGACAGCTGAATGTCCACAAGTCCAAAGGATCGTATGATTAATATTATTCTCAACACATCATCTCTGCATATTAAGGAGACATACAGGTGAGAATTATAACATGAATTGATGAATAATAAGTAGCATATGAAGGTAGATGATGTGTTTATGAGTGACGGTGTCTTCTTGGCCCCCTCCCTTCCCCTTTCCTTCCCTCCCTCTTGCTTCTGTCACGTCCTGCTTCTATCCCTGCCCCTCGCCTTCCCTCACTGTCTCCTTCCCTCTCTTGCTTCTCTCACGTCCTGCTTCTATCCCTGCCTCTCGCCTTCCCTCCTTATCTCTCTCCCTCCCCCTCTCCTTTGTTCTCTTCCTTCCTCCGTCTCTCCTCCCTCACTTTCTCCCTCTCTCCCCCTCCCTCCCTCCCTCCTTCCTCCCTCTTACTCTCCTCCCTCCCTCCCCCTTACCCTCCTCCCCTCCTTCCCTCCCTTCCTCTCCTCTTCCCTCCTTCTCTCCTCCTCCCTCCTTCTCTCCTTATCCTTCTCCCTCCTTACCTGTATCATGCAAGAAAATACCACAGAAATAATATCCACACTCCTCACTGAGTCAAAAAATGATATATGAATGCCGAAACAACGTGACACACACACACACACACACACACACACACATCAAACAGATGCATAAAACTCTTATAAACGATGGTCTTATCGAAGTCAGTGAAGCGAGCCGAGAGACACAATATCCAATATCCACTCCGCTCATGCTTCCATTATTTCAATATTCACAGGCTGGGTGACATAAATCCTGTGATTTTTTTTCCCAGGAAGTTGTGTCTTTCTCGGTGTCGTGAACAGTCTAATACACGTTGAGGCTTCGGGATGGAAGCTATTAGGTAAATATTTGACTTCATAGTAGAACGGAACAGGTAACTTAGTTAATACGGGACAAATAACACTGGTAACTCAGGACAAGTAACACAGGTAACACAGGTAACATGGGGCAGGTAACACAGGTAACACCGGGCAGGTGACACTGGTAATACGGGACAGGTAACACGGGACAGACAGACATCACAGAACAAGTAACACAGTTAACCAAACACACGTAACAGGTAACACACGTAACAGGACAGGTCACACAGGTACAATGTCTTGGCCAAAATAATAACTGTGTAGTGTAACATATTTCGTAACATGAAGGACAATCCAAACTTAGTGAAAATATTTGTGAAAATGACTTCGGTATTTTCATGAAAAACTATGTTTCTCAGATAGTTATGAGAAAGATTTTATGCAGACAGAAATGCTCCTTTGCTGAAAATAGTCTTCAAGGGCGTTGTGTCATTACCATATGTAGATCATTGTATTTGGGTTTGGTCTGAGAAGATACAAAGAAGTGTTACCAGCCAGGTGTCGGCACTAACACCACTTAAATGGTCACTTGGTTAAATGTGTGTATCACATTACCTCATGGTCAGTTCATTTGGGCTAGTAGAGGTCAGAGTCTCCAGCTACCATCACAGAGAAGTCTCACAAATATCGTCTTTGAATTAAGAGTTGTAAGTTTACGTACCTAATAATTTGCCAGCGAAAGTTATGATTATAAAAAATTAAAACTTTATCATATCATCACTATCGTATGTTCAGGTATATTCAAGAAAAAATTTTTCTCTGGTTACTCCATACTTACATAATCTAATTTGTCAAGAGGGACAACATATCTTCGAGAGAAACTGTTGGGTTTGGTTTTTACATTAGTTAATCCTTGTTTAATTATATTTTCTTTGATTGTTCTATACTCACATACTCCAATTTTGGAGGGGTAACTCATCTACTAGAGAAGATAGCGGTGATGGGTTTTTACATTGGTTAACCCTAAAATAATTTTATTTTCTCTGGTTTCACTATACGAGCTTCCTCTATTTTGGGTAGGGGTTACATGTTTATTAGAGAAATTCTTCGAATTACTTGGAAACGTTTATCATTACGCTAGACTGGGATATTAGGTTATTAGGTTATACCAGCCACAGGTGAACTCATATTAGGATTGTTTACAGAAAAATATACACATTAATACATAGTTATAGCAATCTTTCAATATATTTATTACTGCATATGCTGCAGTACTGTAGGTCTATTTTTCTTCTTCTCCTAAATATATCAAGACAGAATGTCAAAGTACTGAACAGATTAAGTTGCTGTTTACAATTACAAAGTTTTAAGTGTATGGAACAGGGCCACGGAACCTACAGATTTATTATCGAGTATTGTCCCACGCATTACTTAGCAGTACAGTTTAGGTTTAGTTTATATCTAACTAATTAACTGTTGGGATACGATAAGCAGTGCCGTAGGTGTAAGGAGAACCATACTGTTGAGCGTTACTGTATCGAGGAAACTAACTTTCGAATCGTTTTCTGTTTCACTTGCAAATGTTGTACAATATTCAGACGCTTTCAATTCATATACAGTAGTCCAATAATAATAATTGATCTGTGAAGGACCGGGGCGCGACATCCAAGCATCCAAGAAAGAATATTGGTTCAAAATTGGCTGGGCATTCATGTATCCATATCCATTCATGGCGTAAACACACACACACACACACACACACACCAGTGGGATAAGCACTCCTGGGAACTGACCGCCGTCTTCTCACCATGAGGTGCTAATCAGTCCACCATGCGAACAACAGAGGGCCGGCCGGCTATGCACCTGACTATGAGTTAACACAACACCACCTAGCAGGGCGACGTACTATGACACCACACCTCACCACCCGGTGTCCCCATGACCACGGGAGGTCCTTCATATCATCTCCCGAGGACGAGTTACTACACCACGTGAACACCACACCACCCGGTGTCCCCATGACCTCGTGAGGTCCTTCATATCAACACCCGAGGACGAGTTACTACACCATATGTGTGTGTGTGTGTAGAGGGGTATTGTGGGGGATAGGCTTGCACTGTACTGTACTGTCGTGTGTGTGTGTGTGTGTGTGTGTGCGGCCATCATTAGTGGACATTTGATGTTCCTTTGCGTTTCACTTACGCACGTGTGAGGGCGGAGAAGGGAATGCTTAGCCACCGGTTCAGGAGAACTGGTCTTCTACAGTGAGTTTTGTCATGTAACATTGTGTCAGATTTTGTAGATTTCGTTTTTTATGATGAACATACAAACTTTATCCCTAAGGAATCGTTTTTGTCAACACTACATTTGTCTCAGATTGTCTTCGTCAGATCAGGTTAGGTTAGGTTAGGTTTGGTTTACTCGTTCATAAAATTGGTTATTTGTTGGTAGGTTAGGTTAAGTAAGATTAGCTTAGTTTTTGTGACGCAAAATAAATGGTTCTTGGCAGGTTTCCTTAGATTAAATCTAGTATTTTCTGTCTCTCATATAAGTCTTTTCTTTCGTTTAAGTCGACTACTATTTCGTAAACCCGTCGTTATCACAGAATAGGCGGATATCTTACCTGTGCCGTCTTGTTATCTACCTGATAAGATTGAGATTACGTATAGGAAATGATGTTGACGGTGTGAGCTATATGTATATATGTCTATCCTAACGACGGTGCTATATCATAACAAATTGATTGCATTATTTGTTAATGAAATGAAAGACATTAATTACTCGTAATAAATTAATTCATTTATACTATACAGAAAGATATATCATTATAGACAAAGGGAAGTTATGTCTCAAGAAACAAATTCAAGGTGTTTTAGTCTCATGTTGAACTTTACTGTGACGTATATATATTTTTTTTCCTAATTCATACTTGTTAACAGAACGGTCTCTCTCACAATGTATATATAACTTGTCCCTACATCTTGTGGTATATTAGAAGCACCACACCCAAGTCTAGTACTGACTGTCGATCTCTCTCTTATCTGTTATCGCCTTACGAGTGTTATTCATCCAGTAACAATCAGATATGAGCTTAGTTTCAGTCACTCGGTGAGGACGACACGAGCTCTCGCCATCTGCGACGAGGAAAAGAGATGACTACGTGAACATAACCACCACTAGAACACAGGTCTGATGTGAGGAAGAACAGACGATGATTAGTGTTTGATTTGTGAAGGTTCAGGGCGAGTACTGAGGTACAGTAGGTCTCGCAGGGCCAGGGAGGAGAGCCGGTCACAAGCACCTCAACACAGATCAACACAACAAATCACCTCCAGCCATTCCTGTGACATTAACCAAGTAATCTCTAACACCTAGAATGAGTTGTAAGATGGTGAGGACGCGGAGACAGACTGGGTGGGTGGTGGTGGTGAGTCTGTTGGTGCAAGTTGTGGTTCTCAACACACTATTGGTTGATGGCTACAACCTCGACGAGAAAAGCCCCCTCCAGCTGCGTCCTACAGACCAGACAGACATCAGCTTCGGTTTCTCCCTCGCCCACCATTTCAACGTCAGCCAGAGAGGGTAAGTAGAAAAAGTCCAAAAACAGCACAGAGATTATTATAGAGGTGGTAGGGAGAGATCTTGTGTCGTTAAGGTATACGTGAAGGTGGTTTGGTTGGTTGGGGATACGGAGAGAAGAGAGCATTAGTTCTGAGGGTGCAAGAAGGGTACAGTACAAGGTAAAGTTCAGAAGTGGGAAATATAGGAGGAGGTTGACAGCAGGTGGGCTAGCCACCCTGCGGAGACGAGGTTTTGTTTTCTGTCAACAGTGCTGCATTAGAGGATTCTTGCGGCTTGGGAAAGCCGGTCTCAGCCAAGCTAAGCTAAGTTGTTCTATTTGATGTTTTCTTGGGGCATATTATGTTAGGGGGGGGGGGTCCCTCCAGGTCCTTGTGTGACTGGAGAGTTGTTCCCATCTTTTGGTTCTTTTTTATTGTGCATATAGAGGCTCTGGAACTTCGTTATCAGTTTTTATGCTTCTAGGCCACCATCTGTGCGATGTGTTGTTGTTTTCCTTATTTAGTTGGTTTAGTATTGGATCCTGTTCTTGATGGATTTTTTCCCATATTGCTTTTCCTTGGGTGTATACCTACTAGGTAGTAGGTAGTAGGCAGCTACCAAACAGGGAGGTACTACCGCCTGGGAAGATACTGGAAGCATAATGTGTTGTCTAATGGTAGACCCTGTTGCCATATGGCATCATGAAAATTGTGACCAAGTCCCAGGTTGCTGATCTGACTTTCTGCCTCATTTACACACAATTGCAGGGTCTCAAATGTTTCTCTCACTTTGAAAACACAACATACTTATATTGTTCCTCACTTTTGATTTTTTTTTAATTTTTTATTTCTTTATTATTATTATTATTATTATTATTATTATTATTATTATTATTATTATTATTATTATTTAATTTTCTTTATTTTTTTATTTATTATTATTACATTTTCGCCCCCCAGGCCCCGATGTGGGTCAGTGACCTGTTCCCGGGTGGACTAATCCCCTTAAAAAAAAGTGAAGGTGAATGAATACAGGAGTTGATGGTATGGAAGTATCCTCTATATAACTTATGATACTCTGGGTGGTCAGTAACTTTGCCCGTCTGTTTATCGTGAAAATATTTGACAGGAACAGACTCAACCGAATATTATAAGGGTTTTCGTCAATGTATTTCTCTTCCTTATAATGAGAAACTGAAGAGACCAAGAGAAAAGGTGTGAACAAAATACAGTCTATGTCGCTCTTAACTACACGAGGATGATGAAGATAAAGGGATATATGTTGTCATGTAAACATTGTCCTCATTATTTGTATAGTGAAGAGACTTGTAGGGAGTCAAGTAAATAACTTTATGACCATTACAGAGACTTAAGGAATGACAATAGTACTTTTGTTTGCCACGCCAGGGACTTCAATAACACACCTAACATTAACAAGAGTATGGTGGTCTTTAACTTTAATAGACATATCCAAAGAAAAATATTTGAATGCAGCCTCATTAATTCTGTACCTAATTTTAACATTTTTATCGTCATACTTCCTTGATAATATAGTATGTAGCCAGGATAAGTAAATAATAAGATTGGTGGTTGGTTATGCAAGGTAATTAGGTCATGGCATATACATATATGTAAGGTCTCTGAACCTTTGTGTCAGGACCAAAGATGAATTTACGTGATGATTATACTAAACAATAGTTATGGCACCTATCTTATCTCTCTCGGGTTATCGCTTCCTCGCCCATGTTGCAACACAGGAAATAGCTTCTCGAAGATAAAGATAATTCTAATTCCTGTAACAGATAAGTAGTCCAGAAAGATAAGCTTAAGGCGTAAATTTCTCATTAATCAATTAGTTAAAATATTGTAAGTTAAGGGACTCTTCTCTACCTTACAAAGTGTTGAGATAGAGAGAATGTTTCAGTCATACAGCTGCTAAGACTGAACTGACACGAGATGACGAGGACTGCAACGTTTGCTACAAAAACCTCACTGGAGTCTATTTTGGTATTTACTGTCTCTTGGAGGAGTCGAAATTTTCTTCATCGAGTCTTGAAACCCCGATGCACTATCAAGCTTGAAGCCGCTTTAAAGTAATCCTCTCCTTGTCTTCGATTACAAAAGAATGGAGGAAACTGCAGCGGGCTTATTGGCCCATACTAGGCAGCCCCGTTTACACCCAACCTCTATCACTCATATATCCATCCAACCTATATTTGAAGCTCCCATCGTCTTTGAGTTAATGATGATGTTTGGTAACTTGTTCCACTCATCCACTACTCGATTTCCAAACCAGTGTTTACCTATCTCGCGCCTAAATGTATATTTTTCTAAATTAAGATCATTGCTACGAGTTCGTTCCTGGTTCGATAGTTTAAGTACCTTTGTTATATCGTTTTGTTTAACCCTCACTTCCATTTATGCACCTCGATCATATCACCTCTCGGTTTACGTCTCTCGAAGGAGTGCAAATTCAAATGCTTTAGTCTGTTTCTGTATTCAAGGTTGCTAATGTCTGGTATTAGTCTTGTCATTCTCCTCTGAGTGCTTCTTACACGGGATTCTATATCCTTTCTGTAGTACGATAATCAGAACTGAACTATGTAATCCAAGAGAGGTTTCACAAGCGCAAGATATAGTTTTAGGATAACCTCGCGAGTCTTGTAACTAACACTCCTTTGTATGAACCTGTTATGAAAACGAAGGTAAGCACTGTGAAGCTTTATTCAACTTAATGCATATTAGTATCCATAGATCTGTAATAAACAGAATAAATAGTAATTACAAATTAAGAATAATTAGGCTTCAAGTAACAGAATAAGCTTAACACAAATAAACATAACATAACATAAATATAAGAGAACTTCAAACAAATAATCTAGAGCACTTAATCAACTAAGCATAACACATCATTCACCCCTGTCTTTCAATTGGAGTCTTGAGTTAAGAGGTGAAAGAATATTATTAGGGAGTGAAGAAAAGTGGTTAAACTGAAATACAGAGGAGAAGAAAGAATCTGGACTCAGCCAGGTCGCTTCATCTTGCCCAATGTTTTTTTTAATCTTTGGTTTGCTTCCTCGGGTCGTCACACCTTTGTATTAGTATTGGTTTATTTTCATGGTGCTGCTTATTATACTTCGCTTACTAACATCGTTTCTATTGTCACTATTATCTCGCTTAATCTGTTTTCTTCACTACCTGTATCTTGTCGATGGCTTGGGTGTGTCGTCATCCGTTATGTTACTGCGTCAGATAAGCTGTGAGTGGCCGATACGATCTTATCTCTAGCGTTCTAGTATGTGGAATAATGGTTGAGCGTCTTACGTGAATATTGTACACATAGTTTTTCAAGGTCGAGTAGTAGTAGTAGTAGTAAATTAGTAGTAGTAGTTACAAGGCGAACTTTAACAAGTGATGTTATCTGAGCACTGTCCTGCGTGTGGCGGGTGTGAGTCAGTGTTGTAATTCCTCCTCCCCCCCCCCCCAAATATCCGCTAACTCCTGACGTCCTAGCACAATCTCTCGTTTAAGGCCACAACACTGAAGCCATCCTGAGGAATTATTTTTTCAACAGATTGTTAGTTGGCGCCCCAAGAGCCAACGACACCACCACAGCCCCAATCAGCGCTACGAGACCAGGGGCGCTCTACTCCTGCAACCTGGACCGTGAACGCACCAAGTGTGAGCAGCTGGAGGTGCTGGTGGATGAGAAGTACAATCCTTTCGTTTTTAATGAATTGAAGGACTTTGGAGGTCTCGGCTTCTCCTTGGCCACGGATGGTGATAAGAGCATCGTAGTAAGTAAACAAAGATTTGATTAATGAAGATTTTCTTTATTCCTACTTTAAAACACCAATGAATTTATACTACTATTAATTATGAGGGGATTTTTACACTGAATATAAACATCAAAATACAGTATTCTGTAAACATTAATATCTATGGATGGTGTAAGGACAATCATCAAGGGTCTCTGTAAACACTGAGCACATAAGGGAACACAAAAACAATGTATTGTAACTTGTATTCGTGCAAATTCACTTAAATAATTCATAAGCCACATTATCAATTATACATCTGTGTGTGCGTGTGCTAACAGGTGTGTGCTCCTCGCTGGCACGTGTTAGACAAGGTAAGGGGTGGGAAGGTGCTGGACAAGCCGTTTGGGATATGCTTCGCTGGCAAGGCTCCCGACTATAACTTCACGGCGTTTTCTCCGTCTTCTCTCTCTTCAGGTATGCTGCTGGTGAAATCATAGTAAAGTATAGTTAGAGAAGAGTGCTAAAGTGAAAACTGGTCTTAGCTGAGTCATCTGGATTTATATATATATATATATATATATATACAGTAATGTTATTGTATACCTGAAGGAAACTCGTTAGTGTATCTGTTGGCTTAAATACTTTTTTCAGTAACGTCTAATCACTAGGTAGTATATATATGTTTAACTCGCCTAAGGACTAGACACTCCAACTCATTTCAATTGAATATATCGATCACTGACGCTACCAATGGGGCAGGGGGTTAGGTTAGTGTTAATCCTCAGGTAATCTCGTACAATTTTTATATAAAGAACTTAAATCCTTGTACTAATGAACCCCAAGATAGTGTTTCAACCTCTACTGTATACAAGTAGCAGGTAGTAAGCAGGGAGGTACCACCGCCTGGGAAGATATTGGAAGCATAATGTGTTGTCTAATGGTAGACCCTGCTGCCATATGTGACCAAGTCCCAGGTTGCTGCTGATCTCACTTTCTGCCTCGTTTACGCACAACTGCAAGGTCTCAATACTTTGACAACACAACATTTATATCTTAATCACTCTTGATCCGTTTTTTTTTCTGTATTTATTTATGGTTCATTTTGCTTTATCACCCCCAGGCCCCGATATGGGTTGGCTTTACATTGTTTAGCTTGAAGTTATACATTGAAAAATATCAGTATGTACCCCACCATTTTACTGTACTGAACTGTGTTCTTTCACTGTATCTGCTGTAAATATTCATATTACACTTGCTGGTAAAATTGTAAATAGCTCGTGCTTCATGTAGCCAACCGCATGTTTTAAGCCACATCTCCTGGGACAAGGTTGACAAACAATGTGCTCTCTGTATACATATTGTATTGGATGTACAATGCAGCTTGGTGCTGGGGAGTGGTGTAGAGAGAGCTGGTTGGCGAGGGTGCTCAGAGGAGGACAGGCAGCTTGTGGGACGCCACAGTCGCCGGCGGGAGCGAAGGCCACCAGGCAGGAGCGGAGGTGTTGCTTGTTGGTGGCTGTAGGTAGAAAGAGGTAGGTCACGGCCACGTGAGGTCTTATATAGCGGGGGTAGGCGTGGCTTGATAGTTGACCTCCACTTTGTTAGGCGGCGCTGGTTACCGACCTAGACCACGAGGCGTACGCTGGGGAATTCGAAGAGGGTGGGCTGGTCAGCGACACACGACGGTTGTAGGGGAGGGAATCTACTACAGTCCAACAACGAACACCAGTTCTCCTCATCTGTTCATCCTAGTGTTGCAACGTTTGATTGCTGCCTTTGTTCAGATGCCAGTAATGGCTACGGCTTCGTTTTTTAATTCTTCAGTGATTTAGATTTATAAGCATTTTCCCTTTACAATAGCGTTATTACTAACATTAACAATATAAATTCAATTATTGCCACATTGATGTAAAGATCATTTCGATATTTACTGACTTAATCATATCTGCATTTCGTCCTTCATATCGATTTCTAACATAATTTCACGGGCTGATAAATTTTACCGTCATCCCGCGGGCCATTAGTTTGACACCCCTTCTAAACCGTTCCTTCACACTCTGTTCTTACTGAACAATATGACCTTTATATACAAAATGAAGCTTGAAAGCTTATTAAACAAATTTTAGAATATGTCGTTTTAACTCATACTTGTTGTATATTTAGTGAATTGTTAATGAAATCAATCAAATAATCAGTGGAACTTTTCCCTCTACAGCGGTGAAGGCAGAGTACAGTAATAATGGTTCATGTCAGTGCGGCATGAGTGTCGCCCACGTCAGGGTGAGTTACCTCTTTCCTTATATTATTTTGTTCTCCCAAGTTGGAAAAATATGTAACGTTTTTATTGTTCAATGTTATTTTATATGAAGTGATCGTCTTCTTCAAACACACACAGTCTGTCTCTCTCTCTGTATATACCATAATACTTATATAATGACACCTGCCTTATGCTATTACACACCTGTCAAATATATTACATACCTGACAAAAATGCCATACCGCACCTGTTATCTATATCCCACACATATCAAATACGCATCTAAACACCTGCCAAATACTTCTACACACCTGCCAAATACAACTACACACCTGCCAAATACTACTACACATCTGCCAAGTACTACTAGTGTACATTAGGGATGCACCGGAACTTCATAAAATCGAGGTTCTGGCCGGAAGTAACCTGTACACACCTGTCAAATACTATCCTATACCTGCCTGTGGTTCACCCTTAAGGCAAGAGGTCATACTCCAAGCTTGTGGAGCAGTGCTTTTATAGTTCCCATCACCTACGAGTACCTGACCCTGTATCTGTTCACCTCCAGGGACGCAACTCCGTCGCCATTGGTTCTCCCGGGTGCTGGGGTTGGCAGGGTAAGTCATCACGTTGAAAGTTGTTTAATGAATAAGAGAGGTAAACGGCATCACTAGTGCGGGTGTCATACATACGGCCGGGAGGTGTCGCCCCCTAGCGAATTCTCTATAAGGTTTTGCATGTTTAGTGTTATTACCATTTGTTCCCCTTTTGGTTCTTTCACTGTAATTGTATTAAGGATTTGTTCTCAGTTTGACATATAACATATTAATATTAATTTTTAGCTGTAAATTCACTATTTTAGCTATATAAACTAGTAAACTACTAGTTAACTATTACATACTGTAATAGTACGTCTTATCATAGAAATTAATTGACCATCAAGTGTAAGTTGATTGATATTATTATACCCATGAATTAATCTAACGTGCGTTCCCTTATGATAGAAGATGCAACAAAATGTATTATAAAATATAAGCATTAGTTATACAAAATTAAGGACAGAATAAAGAGAATGAGGGCTGATGACTACAAATGCTGAATAAAGAAGTCAGAAACTAGAGGAAGACTCAACATTGTGAGGGTTGGTAGGCAGGAACAACAGTTACTGAGCTTGTGTGTGACTCGTGCCCTCCCCTCAGGAGTCTAGAACACACACTTATTCTCTAGCCACGAGAGAATTACTCATTCACAAGTAGGGGGTTGATGGCTCCAGAACCCCGAGGGAAACTATGCAGGTAACAGGTTAGGGGAGTAGTGTGTGTGTGTGTGTGTGTGTGTGTGTGTGTGTGTGTGTGTGTGTGTGTGTGTGTGTGTGTTTCATCTCTACCAAAAAGAGTTTACAGTACAGTGGGGACGTTCTACTTCACACTGTACCTCCTCCTCCTACAGGTGACACTTGGGAGGCTGGCCTTGACAATCTTGACAAGGTTAGCCTCATGAGACGTGTAGGGGAGCTCCCCCTTAGTGATTTCGACCTTACCTATGACCGGTGGAGCACGGGCTACAACACCGTCACCAACTTGTACCTAGGCTACAGTGTTGCCAGCATCACCTACAATGAGGAGCCTGCTATAGTCTCCTCCATGCCGCGTACAAGCAGCGTTGCCGAAATTAAAGTGAAAGAGGTGACGTCGTGTTGATGTTATAATGTAATAATTTCGTTTAAATAAGGATTGCTTTTCATATGGAAATCGTAAACACATTTGTTCAGTATAAACTGTTCTAAGACTGGGAATGTTATATGTAATATAAGACCCACAGACATTCATTCACAACTGAGTATTATAATATATAGTTTAAAATACCGACACTATAACACGGATATAATCAACAGATGTATCGATAAAATGTTGTGTTATGGACTTGACGTTTATGTATTGTTTCTCATCCTGTGTATAAGACAACTAGCATGAGTAACTAAAATCAATAACTTGTGTGGTGTCTTCCAGAGAGATAGTGTTGTTGGACCCATCGTCTACATACTTGAACAGGACTCAGTGAACAAGAACAAATTGACAGTCCTCGACAAGATTAAACCATCACTAGATGCATCAGTAAGTCTAAGAGATGAGTCTGTGATTTGAATGGAAATTGTAGAAGGTATTGTGGTGATTTTATTAGTAAGGCAAGATTCCAAGCGGTATATATACACAAAACTCTTCCCTGCCCCACAAATCACGTTGCACCATTGTCACACATAAGAACATAAGAATGGAGGAACTACAGCAGACCTATTGGCCAATAATGCAGTCCAGTTTATACCCAATCCTTATCGCTCATAAGTCCATCCAACATATCTTTGAAGCTATGCAGCGTGTTCGAGTTAATGATGATGTTCGGTAAATTGTTCCACTCATCCAATGTCTACTTGTCTCGCGCCTAAATCTAAATTTCTCTAATTAAAACCATTGCCCTGAATTCGCTCCTGGTTAGATAGTTTAAGTACCATTGTTAATCACCTTTGTTGAAACCCGACTTTCATTTATACACCTCAATCATATCGCCCCTAACCCTACGTCTCTCGATGTGGCCCTTCACACGTGCAACATCTGTGGACGACCCTGCCAGTCCCGTATCGGTCTCTCGAGTCACCTCAGAGCTCACCAACCAAGGTGACATCCTTAATAACACATATCATTGTATCATAGCTGGATGATCGTCATACTGGATTATGAGTGACAGCAAAGTAGTAGTAGTAGTAGTTGTAGTAGTAGTTATAGTTTTAGTTTCATTTATATATCCATTTATTTATCTATTAATCTATCTATCGATTTATATATTTCTCAGTTCGACCAAGACAAAAGGTTCGCCTTCTTCGGGTACTCTCTGGCGACGGTGGACGTGAACAGCGACGGGCTGGAGGACCTGGTGGTAGGGGCGCCCTTCTACCACAACTCCACAGCCTACCACGACCAAGGGGCTATTTTTGTCTACATGCAAAGGTCCTTCTCGCTCTCGGGGGACGTCAGCCAGCAACAATCTTCCGAGGTGTATTTTTGGCTCATGTTATCTTTTTGTTAAGCTTGAAACGTTCACCTGTGTGTGTGTGTGTGTGTGTGTGTGTGTGTGTGTGTGTGTGTGTGTGTGCGCGATATATGCCTCTTGAGTCAATTGTTGTTCTTCTCGTGACAGATGGTGAAGGAACGTGATGCGCCTCGTAGGGTGGGACCAGAAAACTACGGCCGCTTCGGGAGCTGCGTGGCTTCTGTGGGGGATATTGATAAAGATGGCTTCAACGGTACTGCCTCACACACACACAAATACTGTAACCAACCCACCCACCCACCCACCCACCCACTCGTTTAAGGTTGTGAATAACAGTTTGGATGATACAGCAAAAGGGGATGAAATTTATGGTAATGTGGCAGTGTGTTTGTTATTATTAAAGGTGTTGTCTACTTCCCAGACGTAGCTGTCGGTGCCCCCTTCCTGTATGAGGGAGGAGCTGTCTTCATCTATATGGGATCAGCAGACGGACTAGAAGACATCGCCAGCCAGGTAGGAGGGGCTTCTAGGCACGTTTAAGTAACAATAATAACACTGAGATGGAGATGGTCAGGGCTTGTGAGGTCGATGGTTTAACCTTTTGAGGACGATGGTTTAACCTTTTGAGGACGATGGTTTAACCTCGTACTTGTCACAGGAAGGAAAACTATTTAAATATGGAAGATCCCCCTATATGGATTATAAAGAGCATTTAATTTTTTTTATATACATTTCTCTATTCACATATTTATACAATGACACCCAACTTCTTCAGGATGTCGAGAAAACAAGATCTCATACACCAGGTAGGTATAACTCCGTTTATTTATATGTTTCTTTCTCCTCCAGGTTATCCGTGCATCATCACTATCAAAAAACTTAGGTATACCCCTCAAAGAGTTCGGTTCAGCTATTGGCCAACATATACCTAATGAGTCGGGTCAAGGATACGATGTGGCCGTGGGCGCTCACACAACTGACACGGTATTGGTCTTCAGGTGAGAACACGTTTTTATCAGGTAATATTTTTCTTTTTCGGTGAGGATGGGATCACCTAATGATTAGATATACTGGCTTATGTTATTTTTATGAATTAACTTTCACAAATTAACTCACAAACTTCGAGACTTTCACAAACTTTCAGATTTTCACAAACTTCCTAAGCTCTTAATCTCTCACACACCCAAAACTGCACACCAACAACCTAATGCTCTCATACTCCTATTCACTATAAAGTCTGTACCCCTTTGCTTATTTATCTTCTTTTACTCCTGGCAGATCCAAAGACGTAATAAAACTGACTTGGCAATTAACGTTTAGTGGGTCAATGGACTTAACTAAGGACAACTGTGATTATCATCATGATCGCCAAACCACCTCACACCCTTGTGTCGTAGCCACAACCTGTTTTATTTTCACCACCAACTCAGCGAGCATCATAACAAGTGATTTAGGTAAACAGTTTAGATACCCGTCGAGTCGTTCATGTGATTATCTGAAACTAATGAAGAAAACATTTTTCACAAACAAACGTGATTGTAAAACTGATGTACTGTGTTCATTTTATATAAGGTCTTCGAAAAATAACGCTCAGGGTTTTAAATGGCCATATATTAAGATCTACTACATGCTGTTTTGATGACCTGTATAATATATTTTGATGATAAATGTGACAATTACACTATCGTAAAAATCAATTATCATATCACTAATTATTGAAGTATGTCTCTTTCTGTATATCTCCAGAAGTGGATTTCCAGTTGACGGGAGACAAGACGCGACTCTTCTTTGACAGTGGTTCATCAGAGCTTAAGTTTAAGGTTCATCTGAAGAAAGATACCCAGAAGTGCCATAATAGTAACATAATGGCCAGAGTACGTATACAGAATAATGGTGGCAACTCTGGAGTCATTAACAGTCGTAGATACAAACAAAAGGGAATTTATCTTGTAGAAATATGATTGCGACTCGCCAAGATTCCAATATGTTACTGTAACACTGTTTTGTCTCCGTGAAATATTTATGAGTAGAAAAATACAAAGAATCTTATTGACACCAAAGATCAAATTACTTGTTCTTGTTATCAATGTTATATTTTTCTGATTTCGTCCTCAGTCGAAAATTCAAGATGCAGTGAAGCCGTTTTCCATACTAGGTGAAATATCGATGGATGATTTCATCACAAACCAGGTGAGTTGACCAGTGTGGGTTTATAGGTCATGGGTCAAGTAGTTTATATTGGTGCCTAACTGCCAAACTTGGTGGTCCGAGTTTGAATACCGTCATGTATAGGTGTCAATTGTTTACAGAAAAAACAGTTTTATTCTTCCGGGGAAACTAGAGCAGCAGGATAATGATCAACGACCACGAAGAGAGGCTGAGAAAATATTCTCCCATTCAGAACATTGGGAAAATTTATCTTAGTAATTCAGTCAGGAATGTAAATATTTTCAGTTCACTTTGCACTGTACTAATACTTGAGAGTCCGTGCCAGTGTGTATGAGACTGTGTTTGTCTTGCAGGTGATGCTGGACCCACATATACCACTCAAGAGGGAGGAGCAGTTGAACATCATGGTGTTCTGTGTTAATGGTAGTGCCAGTCAGTGCCAGAGCCAGATCTTCTTAACTTATACCATGTAAGTTATTGAATGTATATACGTCTCTCTCTCTCTCTCTCTCTCTCTCTCTCTCTCTCTCTCTGTTAATACTTGAATTATTATTTTTCCGACTATAAATAAATGGATAAAACTGACTTATTCTCCCTGTAAGTGTGGGGAACTACACCTTGTCATCGACGGACCCTATTGAGATCGCCTTTGTGGTGGAAAACCGCGGAGAGGCTGCGTACAACACTCGCCTCTTTGTAAGTGAAAAAGATCATTGTTTTGGTTGCTCGAGAGAGTGTTTGTTGGTGATGATCAACAATGTGATAATTATTGTTCTTCACGTGCTAATGTATGAATATAATTTGATTCAACAAGAAATATAATTGCAGAGTACTATTTATGTACTTATGTGCCAATAGTGAATTTTTCATGATAAAAATTAAAGTAGGTTGTACTTTTCACGTGTATTTTTTTACCATTTGAGGACTAAAGGGTTAAATTATTGATCTGAAAGGGTTAAATCATAGTCCTCAAAGGGTTAAAGAGACCAATTATAAGGTCTCTCTTTTTTCAGGTAAACTGTTTTGAAAAATTAAGCTTCTCGAAATTGAAGGGCGGTGGCATTTCCTGTGCCGACTCTGGCGACAAGAGGGGAGTTAAGTGTGACTTTGATCAAATCTTCGTCAGGAACTCCAAGGTAAATGTTCTATGAAGCGATCGTCGTGTTTTATGTGTTACTGATAACTTTTTCCAAATGATCACCCGAAATTTCGCTCCCCCGTAATCCTAACCTAACCTAACCTCTCCACTTGCGTTTTCTCTCCACTAGCCATTCGTCTGTACTCGTTTTATAGAAAAAACATTTAAATATAAAACAAAAATTAACGAGAAACAGAATAAAATTAATTCTATTTATTTTACTCAACAACTATAAATGGAACAGTAATATAAGCCGGTTTTATTACTCATTATTTTCATCTCTTCCAGATTGAGTTCTCGCTTTACTTAATACCCGTCCAGAGCTTCTTCTCGTCCCTGGACACTTCTCATGATGACTTCTTTAACGTGACGGCCTCAGTCACCACCATCTCTGTGTTATCCAATCCTGATGATGCTGTAAAAACCTTCAAGATCCCAATCACTGTCTCAGGTTCACTGGATTTGACGAGGTAAGCCTGTTATGGTGAGGAGAGATGGGTGCTGACATGTGCTGTGTGTGGGGGGTGCGCGCGTAATGGTCTTGATCTTTTGGATAAGGGAGACAGTTCTTCAGGATGTTGGTGATGGATACATCAGAGGCAGGAGGTGGAGAGACTCTAGCCGTCTTAAGAGAGAAAATCGAGGGACATAAAAAGAGAATGATTAACTTTAACTTGCCATATGGATCTTCAGTGGGTTGAGACAGACACATTATAGCATTCATCCAGTTGTTTGTAAAGGCCCTTGAACTAACCTCCCGCTTCTCTTACTCACCAGACAAGGGTCACAGCCCGCCCTAGTGTACTATAACAGTTCCTCGTACTTCAAGAGACCAATGGAGGCGAGGGCCGTGGAGGAGCTCGGCCCAGAGATTATTCACAAGTACAAGATCTTTAATGGGAATAAATTTTCTGTATACCGGACGCAAGTTGTCTTGGTGTGGCCGCTCTTGGTTGACGGTAAGTTAGTGACGGAGATATTAAGTGACGGGAACTTGTTTTTATTTCTCTGTGTTGGTAAATAACTGCTTTAAGCTACTACTCTCAACCTTTTTATTTCATGCAAATCTTACTGAAGTTTCTTAGAATGATGACAACTGAAAGAAGATATCCATTGATTTTTCCCTCCCTTAGAATTACTAAATAAATAATGGAGTGTCATTAAGTACTCCTCCCTCTCCTCCATCACCAACATCCATGGTCTATTTCCCTGAGTTTCATCTGTCACGTCAATATTTATCTAAGATACCTGTACGTTTATCATATGACACACACCCATAATAAACTCGTATCATTTTTATTATCAGACAAGTACCTCCTCTACCCGACGGAATACCCCGGGTTTAGTGACGTTTCCCAAAAGTGTGAGTATACAGGTGGTATGGTGAACCCATTCAACCTGACAGGCGCTGAATCCGCGACTCCCGATGTGACAATGTTTACGCCAGCGACAAACATGACACCATTAATAATATCTGACGGGTAAGTGGTCTAGAGCCAATTATTTCCTTTACCCCGTCTTTTACAACGGTGATGAGTTAGAGGCCTTTAATTCATATATAATGGTACCCTGATGTCTGTACATTAAAAAAACAAACACACGGTAAGGACTGGTGAAGCAAGGTATGTGATTAACTGATCTTCTAACACCGTAAATTAGACTCAAATAAGATAGAGAGCGAAAAATTAAGACTTGTGAACTTAAAATTGTATTATTTACATATGTCACCGTATCTCGTAACCTGTTCGTAAGAAGTGAATTTTAGAAGCGAAAGTAACATCAGGGTTTATCAGTTAACATATTGTAGTAGAGGTACAGTGTCACCCAAAAGTTGGTTAACTCTCCCAGCCAGCTATTGCTGCACCGCCTGCTTCAGATGTATGAACTTGAGTCTGTTACTTCGAACCTTTAGATTCATTCGTATCGGTTTCATGTTCTGGTTGGTACTGAGACAGTTTCAAACATCTGAAGCAGGCAGTGCAGCAATAGCTGGCTGGGAGAGTTAACCAACTTTTGGGTGAGACTGTACCTGTAATTGTTATGAAGTATCACTGTAATGAACATGTTGTCTGTGTGTGCTCACCAGGAATGTTCCTAAGTCGATAACATCAGGGAAAAGTACTCAGTACATGATGTTCATTTGTACCTTCGGGGAGCTGCCTGAGAAGGAGGAGGTGGTGATCTCGCTAAAGTTCCGCTTCGTGCAGAGGACCATAGAAGAGGTGATGTACCCCAGGGCATTTCATTAGTACCTTAATTAATTTAATGTGTATTACCTGTTTTCTTCTGTATTTGAATTACAGTTTGTTTTCCTATGTTTATTTTTTCTAGTTTTTACAGAAGAAAGGTCAGAAGAAAGGTCGGTGTTTCGAAGATTGGTTCTAAATGTTTCGTTATGTTTATGTTGTCTATATTCTTGAAATACAGTTGTTAATGAGGATTATAGTTCGACTGTATTATTAACAGTAAAATATTGGAAATAGCGTCTTATCTTCGGTGTTTAATTGTGAAACTATATATATAATGATTTATTTTTAAGTACAACTATTACTTAAATAAATTTATTGTTTATTTTTAAGTAGAACTATCGTTTAAGAAAGTATTGTTATTCTTAAAAAAAGTATTACGGTATTTTTTTTTTCATTACTGATACTATATCGGGGAAAATCTAGATGGGCGTTTTGGCTTGGATGACAGGAGTCTCTCTCTCTCTCTCTCTCTCTTCTCTCTCTCTCTCTCTCTCTCTCTCTCTCTCTCTCTCTCTCTCCCTCTCCCTCTCTTTTCAGGGGTGGATCCAAAAGGGGGTGAGGGGTTGTTTCTGGGGGTCTAGACCCCACCTGTTGTTCAGAAAATTCCTGTACTTTTTCTTTAATGCTGTATTGTTCTCGGGCATTTTTTTTTTAGTAAAAAGTATTTATTATTGACCTTAGAATATCTGCTAATATCAAGTGCACATTCCTTCAAAGTGGCCTCAAAATGCCCATGATTCTGGTCAGATTAAAAAAAATTATCTGGGGGCTGTTGTCCTCACCATTTTCGCCCAACCACACTTCTGACCCCCCCTGACCTGACACCCACCTTTTGATTTTCCTGGATCCGCCCCTGCTTTCTCACTATATCCTTGTGTTCTGCTACAGCTGAGGATGGGTAGTGACCTGCAGAACGTGTCGTCGTGGGTACAACTGCAGGTGTTAAAGATGCCCCTAGATGCCGCCCCTCCACCTGCCTACGTCTCCACCGTCCACACAGACGTCTCCTACAAGTTGGACTCACCAGAATGGGTACGTACGTGAGAACATTATCATTACATTCACTCTTCTTTATAATTTACAAAATGAACAAAGTCTCAAACATGATAAAATAAATAACTTTTTCATGTGATAATAATATAGACGAATAATAGAGAGGAGAGTTGTACAGGGAGTAACTTGTTATCAATTTGTCTCCTCGCGTTTAGGTACCGTTGTGGATCTACCTGGTGTCTGTGTTAGGTGGCCTGGTTGTGTTGGTGCTCATAACTCTGATAATGTGGAAGGTAAGTCTACTAATAGAGCTGGATGGTGTAATAATAATATTAATGATTAACGATTTATTGAAAGAGCATGACAGCCAGAAGGCTGAAAATCTAGTTACATAATTGGGAAATGGGTCTCTTGATTTACAAATAATATAGAAGTAACATAAGTGATACAAATGTGATATGTAATAACTAAGTGGGGAGAAGCTCAAACTACAGGGCATTTCAACAGTGACAATGCAAAAAGTAAGATTGACTGGGAGTGAATACACTGGTTGATTACAAGTTATTGAGAATTTTTACAATTGTTGAGAATGGGCTGTTCTTATAGCGATCAGTTCGTGCTCGTATGGGCTGGATGCGGTTGTGGTGTCGAACAGATATTCTCGGACGAGGTATCTCAAGTGGTAGTAAGAGCCGGTGTCGAGGATAGTGCAGAAGCGTCTCACAAAATTTGCAGATGAAGTCGTGGTGTTTACGTTGTTTGTGTGTGTGTGTGTGTGTGTTTTGACCCGAGATTACGGTGGTATGACCAGAATAGAGCTGATAATGTCCTCTTTCTCTCTCTTCCCTACAGTGTGGCTTCTTTAAACGTAATCGTGTTAATACGGACCAGACGACGGTAAGTGATGGCATGCTGTTGGTCTTCTGTTAAACAATAGTGTTGAAATTATCATTTTTGTCGTCTGTAGATGAGGTTTCTTAGTTGGTTATTAGCGTTGATTACATTATCTGTATTTTATATATTTTCCCTATTTTTTTCATTTCTTTCCCAATTAATGCTTATTTTTCTAAATTTAGAATTTAAAAAAAAATTTTTGAAACACCTCAGCCTGTTTATACACGTCCACATATCAACTTTGTATTTTGATATCCATGACCCAATATCTCTTAAATAATACACCAAATCACCAACAGTTGCGGAAGTTTATTCTACCCCACAAGGCTGTGGCCAGTGAAGACATCTGGCAACTGTCAGAGTAGTAAACGTTTCCTATCCATATGACTGAACCAGTCTCTAGTGTGGGTAGTGTTAGGATGAAACCAGTTGCGTCAAAATATTTATTTAATGAATGCCTTAATTTCGCCTCTGATTCATAAAATCATATTCATGAGGTATCTCATATATTTTTCATTATAAAAAACGTCATTGCTGTTGTTTCTCTCTATGGGAAGGCTGGTCCGTTATATCGAGGGTCTGTTAGATATGAAACCTCCATCTAATAAACTAAATAGAGGGTAAAGTCCGTTATATCGAGGGTCCGGTAGATGTGAAACCTCCATCTGACGAATTATACGGAGAGAGAAGTCCGTTTATGGGGGTTCCACTGTAGATTCCTTTGCTTTAGTTAGGCTGGGGGGGGGGGCGTAATCACCAACAACAAACCATGCAAATGTCGACGTGAGGATTTGTTGTTCTGTGTAATAAAATTCTTGGAAATATTTATCAAGCCAAACATAAATACTGAACTTAATGTAGTGTAAACTGTTGACTAATGGCTGTGACGTGTGAATAATTTATAGAGGTTTTAACACTATTTTGAGTGTCTAGCTTTAAGTTTTATTTTCACTACATATATAATAATTAAAATTACTGCTTGTCATTTTGCTTAGAAAATTGTTTCATAATAATCGTAATTATTCAATTTGAAATATTGATCTTATAATTATTAAATTTCAATACAAGATATATAAAATTTATTGTTTTGTATAATGTAGCAGCTTGGTTCTATAATGTAGCAGCTTAGTTCTATAATGTAGCAGCTTGGTTCTATAATGTAGCAGCTTGGTTCTATAATGTAGCAGCTTGGTTCTATAATGTAGCAGCTTGGTTCTATAATGTAGCAGCTTGGTTCTCTAATGTATCGCTTATGACAGTATGGGAGTAACTGCAGATTGTCTTCCGTTATATAACCAGTAAGTTTACAGTTAGTCAGCACCTTGATCAAGGGGACTATGGTGGTTTGTGTTCTACTTTTTAGGTATATGATAGGTCAGGTCAGGTCAGGTCAGGTTAGGTTATTAAGTTTGTTTATTTCCAGAGACTTTTGCGTCCTGATGAACACTACTCCTGATACCAAATGCTTTTTTGTGCTATTAATAAGTGTACAGACACGAACAGAAGTCCCTTTACACGATTGAGACTGAATTGAGGATACGAGCTAGTGAACTGTTGCGAGGAGCCTCCGATCTCCATTTTATAGCCTTGTTAGGAACAGTTTCTAACAGAAGTGTAAAGGAAATTTTGCTCATGAACGGACATTTTTCGCTAAGATTTCTAAAGTTTAGTTCCTTAACAATAATTTCTTCACCCTATTCTTCATTTTAACTTGTTTTAATAAGAATATTACCATTCCTAATAACAGTTTTGGGAATTGCTTTTAATTATGACAAAAATAGCAATATGTCTCACTTGAGAGGAAACAATATTTAGTTTATTCTCTATAATTGGTATTAAATCAACGCTAATTTCCTTATTTATAATTGTTATCATAATAATTACAGAGTAACTCTCTCTCTCACTGCCACTAACACTCCAACAGAATGGAGGAGGAGGTGAGCCAGAAGATGATCAGACAGAAAACGAAAGAGAAGAAGAAGACGAGGACGAGGACGAGGACCCTGCTACACCTCACACGCCCATGTATAGAGAGACTGTGAACGCCAGCGAGGATTTCCAGTTCAGCAGACCTTCATCCATGGCCGCTAACTGATGTGTTTTGTCAATAAAACCTAACCTAACCTAACCTTCATCCATGGCCGCCAACTGATGTGTTTTGTCAATAAAACCTAACCTAATCTAACCTGACCTGACCTCGGTCTAACCTAACCTAACCTAACCTAACCTAACCTAACCTTCATCCATGGCCGCTAACTGATGTGTTTTGTCAATAAAACCTAACCTAACCTAACCTAACCTGACCTCGGTCTAACATAACCCAAAGTGAATTAACTTTACCTAACTATAACCAAACTTATCTTACTCTAATCTAACCTGACCATAACCTAACCTAACCTAACCTAACCTAACCTAACCTGACCATAACCTAACTTAAACTTCACTGCCATACACTCGGACCAGTAGTGAGTGAAGCGCCTCTCCTCAACCATTAAATTATTATACCCGGGTTATGGTGATGAAAAAACACTAACAGGAGCTGACGTTTTATTCTGGAGTGTTAACAATGCCAAACTAGAATCCATGTGTATAATACCATAACAAATTTACGTTAATATAATGAAAAACCGTCAATACATCACCTAATTAATGTGAGATATGCTTGTAAGACTTTGATAAATATATTCGTGTCTTTAACACTGTGGTACATGTAAGCTCACCTCAGGTAATGACGTTTATGGGTTATGTTAGATGTGTGTGTGTTTTGATTCAGTCATGTAAGGTGTTGCTATCAGGACCTGAGGTGTGTAGATCAGACCTGTGAATGTGTAGGTCCTGTTTTAGGAACTTTGAATGAAGACTCACCAGATGTAAAAAAAAATAAATAAATAAATATTTTGATTAATTTTTTCATGGATTTAAAATACTATTATTTTTTGTAATGCTGATTTATAACTTGGTGTTGTTATGCTGCATCTCTGAATGCTTTAGGTTATAGCCACATTTTATTGTGTATGAAACAAGAAGGTAATGAGTATCTATCTAATATACTATAGGACTAGGCGTGTGTCTGTCTGTCTGTTTGTTCTGGGCAGCCGAAACGGCACAATCGTTTTTCATCAAACTTGGTGAAAAAATCGCAAAAAATTCGTAGAGTGGAACAAACCTGGTCCCATGTCGATGGTCTCTTTAGGAAGGCATTAATTAACCATTTTATTTATGATGGAAAATGATGCAAGTCTACGGACTTGGAGCACCCTCATTCGCTGTACGCTGTCAGCCGCACGGCGAACCTGGCACGAAGGGCCCACTGTCATACAATACAATACAATGTAATACAATACAATATAAAACAAAAAACAAAACAAAACAACAAAACAAAACAGTACATTATTATTATTATTGTTATTGTTGTTACATTATCGCCCCCTCCCCCCAGGCCCCGATGTGAGTCAGTGACCTGTGTCCGGGTGGACTAATCCCTTTAAAAAAAATTAGAAAAAGATAAAAAACTCACTCACTCACACAGCCCTGTACAGAAACCTCCCGCCCCCAACACACACACAGCCTGGTACAGCAACCCTCTCCCCCACACACAGCCTGGTACAGCAGCCCTCTCCCCCACACAGCCTGGTACAGCAGCCCTCTCCCCCTCACACAGCCTGGTACAGCAGCCCTCTCCCCCACAGCCTGGTACAGCAACCCTCTCCCCCCCACACAGCCTGGTACACAGCCCTCTCCCCCACACAGCCTGGTACAGCAGCCCTCTCCCCCCACAGCCTGGTACAGCAGCCCTCTTCCCCCACACAGCCTGGTACAGCAGCCCTCTTCCCCCACACAGCCTGGTAGCAGCCCTCTCCCCACACACAGCCTGGTACAGCAGCCCCTCCCCCCCACACAGCCTGGTACAGCAGCCTCTCCCCCACACAGCCTGGTACAGCAGCCCTCTCCCCCACACAGCCTGGTACAGCAGCCCTCTCCCCACACGCCTGGTACAGCAGCCTCTCCCCCCACACAGCCTGGTACAGCAACCCTCTCCCCCACACAGCCTGGTACAGCAACCCTCCCCCTCACACAGCCTGGTACAGCAACCCTCTCCCCCACACAGCCTGGTACAGCAGCCCTCTCCCCACACAGCCTGGTACAGCAGCCCTCTTCCACACACAGCCTGGTACAGCAGCCCTCTCCCCACAGCCTGGTACAGCCCTCTCCCCCACACACAGCTGGTACAGCAGCCCTCTCCCCCACACAGCCTGGTACAGCAGCCCTCTCCCCCACACAGCCCTGGTACAGCAGCCCTCCCCCACAGCCTTCCCCCCACAGCCGCAGCCCTCTCCCCCACAGCCTGGTACAGCAGCCCTCTCCCCCACACAGCCTGGACAGCAGCCCTCTCCCCACACACAGCCTGGTAGCAGCCCTCCCCCACACAGCCTGGTACAGCAACCCTCTCCCCCACACACAGCCTGGTACAGCAGCCCTCTCTCCCCTCTCCCCACACACACAGCCTGGTGCAGCCCTCTCCCCCACACAGCCTGGCACCCCTCTCCCCACAGCCTGGTACAGCAGCCTCTCCCCCACACACAGCCTGGTACAGCAGCCCTCTCCCCCCAGCCTGGTACAGCAGCCCTCTCCCCACACAGCCTGGTACAGCAGCCCTCTCCCCCACACACAGCCTGGTACAGCAGCCCTCTCCCCCACACAGCCTGGTACAGCAGCCCTCTCCCCCACACAGCCTGGTACAGGCCCTCCCCCCACACACAGCCTGGTACAGCTCTCCCCCCACACACAGCCTGGTACAGCAGCCTCTCCCCCACACACAGCCTGGTACAGCAGCCCTCTCCCCCACAGCATGGTACAGCAGCCCTCTCCCCACACAGCCTGGTACAGCCCTCTCCCCCACACACAGCCTGGTACAGCAGCCCTCTTCCCCCACACACAGCCTGGTACAGCAGCCTCTCCCCCACACAGCCTGGTACAGCAGCCCTCCCCCCACACAGCCTGGTACAGCCTCTCCCCCACACAGCCTGGTACAGCCCTCTCCCCCACACAGCCTGGTACAGGCCCTCTCCCCACACAGCCTGGTACAGCAGCCCTCTCCCCTCACACAGCCTGGTACAGCAGCCCCTCTCTCCCTCTCTCCCCACACAGCCTGGTACAGCAGCCCTCTCCCCACACAGCCTGGTACAGCAACCCTCTCCCCACACACAGCCTGGTACAGCAGCCCTCTCCCCTCTCCCCCCACACAGCCTGGTACAGCAGCCCTCTCCCCACACAGCCTGGTACAGCAGCCCTCTCCCCCACACACAGCCTGGTACAGCACCCTCTCCCCACAAACAGCCTGGTACAGCCCTCTCCCCACACAGCCTGGTACAGCAGCCTCTCCCCCCTCACACAGCCTGGTACAGCAGCCCTCTCCCCCCACACAGCCTGGTACAGCAGCCTCCCCCTCACACAGCCTGGTACAGCAGCCTCTCCCCCCACACAGCCTGGCAGCAGCCCTCTCCCCCACACAGCCTGGTACAGCAGCCCTCTCCCCCCACACAGCCTGGTACAGCAGCCTCTCCCCACGGCCTGGTACAGCAGCCCTCTCCCCCACACAGCCTGGTAGCAGCCTCTCCCCACACACAGCCTGGTACAGCAGCCCCTCTCCCCACACAGCCTGGTACAGCAGCCCTCTCCCCCCACACAGCCTGGTACAGCAGCCCTCTCCCCCACACAGCCCCTGGTACAGCAGCCCTCTCCCCACAGCCTGGTACAGCAGCCCTCTCCCCCCACACAGCCTGGTACAGCAGCCCTCCCCACACAGCCTGGTACAGCAGCCCTCTCCCCCACACAGCCTGGTACAGCCCTCTCCCCCCCCACACAGCCTGGTACAGCAGCCTCTCCCCCACACAGCCTGGTACAGCGGCCTCTCCCCACACAGCCTGGTACAGCCCCTCCCCCACAGCCTGGTACAGCAGCCCTCTCCCCCCACAGCCTGGTACAGCAGCCCTCTCCCCCACACAGCCTGGTACAGCCCCTCTCCCCTCTAAAACACATACCACATCTCAACATGTCAGCTCCTTGCTGATATAAGAAAAGTTAAAGTTATATAAACACACCAAACACAAGTAGTGTATCTTATGGAGAGATCATCTTTATATCATGGTGGCAGGAAATCTTTGGTTAGCTCAGGGAGTGGCAAACCCAACCTGCCAGTCAGGATGGCGCTTGGAAGCACCACATGTAATGCCCTGTCTCCACTCTGTAAAAGTTAGTGATAGGAATGGGAATCCAGCCTGAAGATAACTAGGATACCAGAGATGTGTCTTTCCCCAGATCTCTGCCTGCATTGTCTGGGCTGGAGCGCTGCTTGTATAGATGGTACCAAGTGGGCGGGTTATCGGCAGGGCGCGAGGATGAGTGACGTCACGCGCGGTCCTCAGGGAGTGCGAAGCGGACGTGGCTGGCCGACTCCTCCATTTACTCCTTTCCTTTAACACCCCTCTCCCCCATACCTCCTCCCCATACATCCTCCCCCCTCACTTTGTCCCCTATAAGTCCTCCCCCTAACTCTCACCCTCTAGAGTAGGGGAGGGTTGTTGGTAGAGTAGAAATAGCACATAAAACTAAGTATGAGGATAAAGCTAACACTACAGTCCACGGTGACCAGGAAAAACCTGCTTAAATCCTCAGTGTGGCGTCTCTGTTCCTTCCTGAAGACAAGGGATGTGCTCACGTGTGTAGTCTAAGCTGTGGTGAAGACGAGGGATGTGTTCATGTGTGTAATCTAAACTGTGGTGAGGGCGAGGGATGTGTTCATGTGTAGTCTAAACTGTGGTGAGGACGAGGGATGTGTTCACGTGTGTAATCTAAACTGTGGTGAGGGCGAGGGATGTGTTCATGTGTGTAGTCTAAACTGTGGTGAGGGCGAGGGATGTGTTCATGTGAATCTAAACTGTGGTGAGGGCGAGGGATGTGTTCACGTGTAATCTAAAATGTGGTGAAGACGAAGGATGTGCTCACCTGTGTCTTCCCAACTAGGATGTAGACGAGGGATGTGCTTACCTGTGTCCTCCTGACTGTGGTGAGAACTAGAGATGTGTTTTCGTATGTCCTAACTGTGGCTCAGATGGTCTACGTCATCCTGGCTCCCTTACTCTTATCATCCAAGTGAAGTGTCGTGGTAAAGTTTGTCCCGCTCGGTGTATGCAAATCGTCGTGCAGGGATTACTTGTAAGAATAATGATGATAATATCTACTGTGAGCGATGTGAATAAATGTGAAGGTTGGGAAAACTAAAGACAATTTCTGTACGTTAATTTGGTATATTTATTTGTGGGTCTTGAAAATGGGGAACATTATTAATTGATTCTTAACTAAAAACTTCCTGTCTTTTGTTTTGTTTACTATAATATCGTTGTTATTATCTGATTGATCAATTATTTCCACAACAGGACTCTGGCAGGAAATAGTGATATATAATTACAGCAACACAAAGATCATGTTGCATCTTAATAGACTTTACCCTCACACAAGGATTTTAGAGTTGGTGCACATCAATAGTGTAATACAACCTACTGTTATGTAACGCCTCAGAGAGAGAGAGAGAGAGAGAGAGAGAGAGAGAGAGAGAGAGAGAGTTGTTAACAGACCTGAACACACTGTCATCGTTACGCTTCAGGGCGGACAGTGTGAGTGTGAGGAACAATATCTCAGGTTCAGCCCCAAGGAATATTATTGTGTGGAGGAGACACTAATGCGGGTATGTGATGTGTAGAAATAAAAGCAGTGGTCACCAGGAGTTAGACAGACAGAGGTTGGAACACTTACCGATATCCGCTGGAGCTCCTATCCAACACCTACCACTAACCTACTACCGCCACCCGTCACTACCACCCGTCACTACCACCACAACACTCGCCCTGTA